TGGCTATGGGGGGGCCGCCCCCGGGCGGGCAAGTGTCCCCGCCCCCTGGTGCCCGGTGGGCGAACGGCCACGCCCCCTGGCGCCCGACAACCTCAAAAGGTTGGGGACCACTGGTATATACTGTATATAATGTGTTCTTAACCCTTTTTATTGTACATACTGTATACAGTATACTGTGATGTTTTCGTTTTTTTAACCCTTTTTTACCCTTTTCACTCGGTTCAGCTGCTGCCACTGTTGCCTTGTGACTCGTTTTTTGCCGAAGCTCACTCACTAGGCTCTTGCCATTTTGATGCCGGACTATCAGGAGTGCCGTGCAATTGGATTCCAGACTATTGGAGTTTTACTGTATTTAGCAATGCCCATTCATGAAATGTATTTTATAAATTCAAGAAATCCTGCTTCATTTCAGAAGGCAAGACTGAGATCCAGGGATAAAACAGTAAATGAATGGAAAGGAGCTGGGGACAGAAAAATGGAAGCAATATCCAGGCATGCAGGTGACATCAATAGTGACAATATTTCTTTTCTCACTTTACTCTTCCAGTTCATTTCCCATTTACTCACTAGCATTTAACACTGTCTTCAATCTTGCTCTCAAATTTGCAGGCAACTTGTCTTGCACAGTCAATTACTGATTTTTCTAGGTACAGTATTTGGTACTGCTCAGCTCTGTGTCTGAAGTGCTGCTAGTCCCTATGGCAATTTTATTGCATAAGAGAAGTATAACAACACAGGATTTGCCATTATTTATTGGCACAACTGTCTTGCATTTAAAAAAAGCAAAGTGCATGGCCATTGTCGAGGTCTGGCATCAAACTCTTACCAGCAAGACTGGCACTGCTCTCTATGGCCATATGCTATTAGGCCATCTTCAAATCTATTCTATAAAAGGAAAGCACACTGGCGCTAAGCACTGTCCTGTTGTATGCTGCCTGTGCCCCAGTGAGTACGTTTACACTGGTAACAAGTTTAAAATATCTGCACAGAAACAGGGTTGAAATGCAAAGTTCCAATTTACTGCAAAAACACATTCCAGGAATTCACCTGGTAACATCTGCAGAGCCTTAAAGTAAATTATACATCATATTTTAGTGACCTTGTTAGGCCAGAACTGAATCCTGCTTATTGGGACTACATCTGGCCAGAACTGAATCCTGCTTATTGGGACACAGGTCTATACCAGCACTGTATCGATATCACGTGCATTAATCAAGTCAAACAAATATCTAAAGCAATAACTGGTTTATTTAACAAAATACTAAACTTAGAAAGCAAACATAAGATCCGGTTGTCATAAATGGTAGGGGCTCTCTGTGTGCATGTCATCAACACACATATCAGCCGTGCTAGGGTGACAGCTAGCAGGCTCTTTGGTTCTGTAGGCTGCCTAGGGCAGAAGCCAGCCTAGTTGCTGACAGTCCTTTGGGGTGCAGCAATCTAGTTTTACAGTTGTAACAAAGGCTAGCACAGAGTTTATTTGTTTTAGTAAGCAGTCTGCAGCAGGGCCAGTTACACACGCATATGCACTATCTTGCCCTCCAGTCAGCACAGTGCACGCAGGATGGCATGTCAAGTATAGAAGGAAGAAGACCAGATGCAGGAAGACTGTCCACTTACCTGGCTCTCTGCAACTCCGTCCCGTCTGCTTGTTCCTTTCCTTTAGCCTGGAGACGTTCCCCTACCTCTTTGCCAGGGGTGCCAGTTCAGATTGCAGTGGGGCTGGGGAAGGCAACTTTAACAATTCCAGACGATACTTAGGCACCTGAAATCTCTAGGGATTTGGGGGGGTTTGTGTTTATTTTGTTTTTTGTTTTGTTTGTTTCTTTGCAAATAACAGAAATCCTGAAATATTTCCATCGGTAATAATTAAATTATTTACATATTGGGAAAGCAAGAAAAATGCTTCCTGAGCACTTGCTAGAGTTAAAATTCAATTATATAAACTTCTGAACTGGGCTTGTCACAAATGGACGAGTGAATGCATAGTTAAATCAACAAATCATGTCTAGTGTTAGGATAATTATTTTGTATATCTGGACATGAATCTTGACATGGGATATGGTGGTTTTTGTTGTAGTCATGCTAGTGCCTGGATGAGAGTCACAAGGTGAGTGAAGTAATATTTTTAATTGGACCTATTATGGTTGGTGACAGAGACAACCTTTGGAACTCCTCAGAGCTCTTCTCCAGGTCTGTGAAGCTCCAAAGGGCTAATATCTCACCTACCAAAGCTAAAAAAACCCTCACCCACCTTGTGTCTCGCTTGGTTAGAACTGCTTTAAAACTTGAACTCTTTGCATTTCAACTTTGTCTGTCATTAAAAAATTATCAGATCTTCCCCTATAACTTCCCACAACTGTGAAAATTATAAAGACAAAAAGCTTAAAACGTATTACAAAGAATTATAAAAATAAAAGTGCATTCCACCAAATCTTTTTATAAGCCAGAGCAGCAGGGGTGAAGCATTGCAGAGAGGGTGGGGAATGGGACAAAGCCTAAATTCCCACTGTGTTCCCTCTGAGTTTAAGTGCTTCATTGAAATTGCAAGTCACAACAATCAGACCTTAACTTCAGATTCTCACACTAGGAATCCCAGTGACTTCTAGAGCATGAAGAAGGTTTGCAGATTAAAAGGGGAACAAAGAAAATCTCCTTATTCTTAATCTTGATGCAAGAACACCACTTCTCAAAGAAAGTTTTAACAAGGCTTTAACCCTGACCACAGAAATGTCAGCATACTGATAAATACAACTTGTAGTGAAAACATAAATAGAACCCGAGGGTGTGGATAGGTTATCAAGAATTGAATGGAAGGTAAATGTGTTTCAATCATTCAGCCAGACACCCTCTGTGACTCATTTCCCTAGGGGGCACATGGGAGAGCTACCCCTCTGAAATTTATCTCCTCTGCACCAAACCACCTGCCTTCTCCCCTCCCCCTCCCCCAAAAAAAAGAAAAAAAGAAGAAAAGAAAAGAAAAAGTAAGCAAAACTTCTGAGCCAGCCAGGGAAACAGGAGGAGAAGACCAACTGCTCATGGGGGTGCAATTTAAAGGTCTCCCCCCAACAACTCAAGTGTCATACCCCCCTCTCAAGACAGTAGCTCAGCCCTCCTCAGTTCCCCTATGGGGCTATTAGGGGGAAAGGGAAAAAGGGGTGGGTGGGTGGACCCACACCTACTCCACACTAGCACACACCCAGATAGTAGGGTTGCTCCAAATCCCAGCCAGACAGCACCTAGAGGGAAGCTGCACACACAGAAACAATTCTTCAATCCCCACCAAACTCAGCTGCCCACCCCAAGTGGCCCACCCTCTTATCACAGGGCTTCTTCAGAGGGGGCGGGAGCCAGGGGGGAGGAAGGGGGCTGCCCTGGGCACCCACCCTGCTGCTGCTCCCACCTGAGCAGAGGATTTACCTGAGACAGTAAGTGCTTCTGTCCTCCCTGAACTTGGCTTAGGTGGCTGCTGGGTTTCCCTCCTATTTAGCTAGCTGGCGCCATGTAAGGTCACGAGTCTATTCATATGCCCCCCCCCCCTCAGCATATCCCCCTTGGGCAGCCACCCTGGTCCCTCAGGCCTCAGGCTTGCAGTGCCTGCAGAGATACTGTTTTTGAATGAAAAGTTGTTGAGGCAGCTAAGGCTTCTTTGTTGGCAGGGTCATTGTGCTTGTTAATTGATTATTTTTTGGATGACTGGGTGCTTGCACATACAGATGTGCTTTAGCAAATCAGAATGATTAAAGTAGTGAGTAACTACGTATTCCTAGAAATAGTAATGGAGTAAAAAGTACGATATTTTCTAAAAAACCTACTTGAGTAAAAGTCAAAAATTAATTACTTTGAGTAAAGTACAAATACCAAAAAAAAATGTACTTGAGTAGTGTAACCAAGTATTTCTACTTAGTTACTCTCAACATCTGGGCAACCCATTTTCCCACCTTTCTTGACAGAAGCTGGTGACCAGAAGGCTGACTGCTATCTTGAAGAGGAAAACAAAATGGAGGCCAAAAAAAAACAAAAAAAAAACAAACAAAAAAAAAACAACACACACACCCTGGCACCTCTCCCCCAACAACCTAGTTCACAAATCAAGTTAAAAGTTACCAACAATCACAGCCATGTTTAAACACAGGCAAGCAGCAATGCACAATTTAAAACCTGAACTAGTTTGAAATGGGGCAGTCCCAACTCATCCTCCAAAATTTTCAAATACAAATAAGTTGGATCCTTCATTGATTTGCCTATTATGACAAAGACAGTATACTACTCATGCGGATTGTAAGCCTCATGGATAGGGAGGTGGGATTTTCAAATGCAAACATAGTGGCAATGGCATTCAGTATACAACATACTGACCAACTCAATGACTTACTACTGCAAAATGTGGATGGTGTGTATATGAGCATCCAGGCAAATTAAAGAACTATGAATCAGATTTATAGCCATTCACAGTGTATTAAATGAGAATAAAAACAAAATCAGATTCTTCCTTTCAGACTGGACACACTTCTCCCTGACAATGGCCTTCTCTCAGACAAGAAGGGCTGAACACCAAGGGGGGATTTGCGATTATTTATTGGTTCAAGGCAGGAACTTTTGTTAAAGGGGAATGTTACCGCAAACTGCAAGCCTCTGGCAGGCACAGAATTTCCACCTCTATGGCTTGGCTGAACACCATTCTTTTCAGTACCAGAGAACATTACTACAGGTCAGCACATAACACTTTTTGTTCCAGAAGTACGTAGGTTAGCTCTGCAGCACTTTCAGTTCTTGCCAGTCAAAAGAGGTCCTGTGTGTTTATTGTGTTGCTGCTAACACACCTGGGCAGCATATGCTTGATCTTAATATACCACACAAAGTCACTGCTTACTGCAAGTTATGTAGACATTAAAAATAAATTGGAATTAGAAGTTTTATGAATCATATGCAACATTTTACATTTGAGATGTGAACTTGTGTGAAGCTTGTGAGGACAAGAGATGAATTAGACAGCAATGTTCTTGCAGATAACATGTTAGTCTGTTGACTTCCTTTGAGTGAAATGGGAACAGGCGCAGGTCTGGAATCATGAGATTTACCACTGCTAGCTATTTGAGTGAAGAGGCAAAGTTAAAATCTAAATACAGGAATATGAAACTTTGGTAGTCTTAGTGTTCTTTAGGGAAGGAACAAAACTATCTGGAAGGATAATGTTCCAAAAAGGATGGAGCCACACTATTCTCAGTGATGGCAGATGACAGAATGGATCTCAAAATGCAGTGGGGGAGGACAAGGTTGAATATTAGGAAAAATTATTTCACTAGGAGGGTGATGGAGCTCTGGAATGGGTTACCTAGGCAGGTGGCAGAATGCCATCCTTAGAGATTTTAAGGTAAGGCTTGACAAAGCGCTCTCTGACTGGGGATGATTTAGTTGGGGTTGGTCCTGCTTTGAGCAGGGCATTGGACTAGATCTCCTGAGGTCTCTTCCAACTCTAATCTTTATGATTTTATGCAAACAGCTTACAACAGAAATGAACATTAGCACATCTTTGCACACTCCTGTAGGGTTTTTCCTTTTTTATCAATCTCACTATGATGGTGAGTGAGCAGCCATTTTAAACAGTTGCGCTTAAATGAAATATGTTTAAATGCAATAATTATGATTATTTAAAATGGGAACATCTTTTTTTACGTATAAACAAAATATGTACATATTTAACTTTCTACTTGCTCTGCAAAATGACTAGTTTCAACCTTACAATGTGACCACAGTGACATCTCGTTCTCTCACTTTCCAGACTTTATGTATAGAACCCTGCAAATCCACAGATATCTGCTTTATAACCATGGGTATCCACTTCTGCGGATGTGCATACAGACAACCACAGCTCATTTTTGTGGATATGGATGCGGATACAAATTTTGTATCTAGAACCCTGCAAATCTGTGGCTATCCATTTTATAACCATGGTATCTACATCCACGAACATCAATGCAGATATCTCCGGCACATTTTTGTGGATACAGATGCAGATACAAATTTTGTATCCACACAGGGATCTATTGATAAAAATTCAATAAAGACCAAAGCAATACAGATATAAAGTAACCTTTCAGAAACAGGAACTCTTACTAGTAAGGAAACATTTACATGGCTTTATATTGATATGACAAATTTAAAGATGCAGTCTTAGAAGCAGATGATATATCTGGGTAAGGCTGAAGGCCCATCTGTTTATTGTCTTTCAACTTTTGTATTATAATTTTAGCAAACTCCTCTCCTTGGCTGTCAGTAGTATCGAGTAGTTGTCGGACTTTTGATGTCCTTGTAGGTTTGGTGCTGATAAGTTCATAATCTTCTTTCATGATTAAATCCCTTGATAGGAGGGCATCCAGAGACTGGTTTAGACAAGCTTCAGTCATCTGGCTGACAATGTCTTCTCTCCTACTTTGGATCCACTGGTGAGCTACATCCTGTTGCATGGATTCCAAAGCAAAACCTAAAAATTAAAGAAAGATTCAGAAACCTACTATCACAGTTATAGGGAATTTATAGGACAATAAAATGAAGAATGAGTTGAGAAAGAACAGCTCAAAAACTGCACTTGTGGTTAAATGATGGTCTTGTAATACTCTGCCAAAATGCTGCTATATATCCCAGATTAAAACTTCATTAAATGTATCAATGGTTGATTAAATTATTTCTCTTTAGTAGTTCTAATGCTAGGTCTTCATTTGTTAAGGGAAGGAAAAGTAACAAATATAGCTTCCTAAAATGCCACCATTACTTTAAAACAGAAACTCCAGTCTTTCAACCATCCCTACCACTAATGCCTTCCTCCCACACAAATTTACCTACTCCTGAATCAGGGACAGGGATGGATACAACATTCTGTAATATGCCTTTTTTTTCCTATTTAAATAAGTCATTCCTCTGAGCTTTTCAGGCTTGCCCTATTATCCCTTCCTTATGTGCACCTTAAACTCAAAGATGCCTTTTCATACAAGTGACACAGCTATATTAAGATCAAAACTATCATGATATAGAGAGAAGAATGATAATGGGTTAAGACACTAGACTAGAACACAAGACCATATTTCAAATACTAACTCTACCACAAACTGTTTTCGTAATGTTGGGCAAGACAATTTCTCAGTGCAATACCTCAGTAGCAGAATGGGAATAAAACACTTCTTTTCTCCTGCTCCATGGCTATGTCTAGACTGCTTTCCTCTTCCAAAAGAGGAAATGCAAATGAAATACTGATATGCAAAACTTGTGCTTCATTTGCATATCTTCTGATCCCTTTTTCAGAAGTTTTTTTTTTTTTAAAGCTGTCTAGATGGGTTTTTTTGCACAAACCCCCCTTTTTAAAAAAGAACCCTGTAAACCTAATGTTTTGAGAAGTAAGGGTTCTTTCGAAAAAGGGTTTTTTTGTGGGAAAAATCCCATCTGGACTGCTTTTTTTTTTTTTCCAAAAAGACCTCGTCTGAAAAATGGTTCAGAAGAAGATATGTAAATGAAGTGTGAGATTTGCATATCAGCACTTCATTTGCATTTCCTCTTTTGGAAGAGGAAAGCAGTTTAGACATAGGCTAAAATAAAAATAGGAGAAAGGCAGGGTTACCTATACCTTGGGCATCTTTAGTAAGTGTTTGTAAGTGTACCATTCTCCATTATAATACCCTTTTAACAAATACAGCACCGAAGCAGAACTATCATACACACTTCAGTAACACTGTATGTGCTATCTTCCTTATCCTAGACTATAAACTCTTCATTTCTGTGTTAGTGCTTAAATAACAATTGGCCTAGTCTTCCTTTCAAACACACACAAATTACTGGCAGTTGCACATATACCAAGATTCTGAATAAATCTCACAGCAGACATCTCACTGACCATTCATTGTTTCCCTCTAATACTATTGGAACTTAAAACTCCATTAGTTTGTGTTGTACCTGAGATAAGTGCGGATGACTGAAACATGCGTGTTGTAGGATTTGATGTATCTGAGCGATCTGCACCAGATGAGGATGGGTAACTGCGGTAGGGCACATACAAGTTAGCACTCTGGGCTGGAGAGATATTTTCATCCATGCTAACAAGGGAGCACGGTCCTTCAGAACTGCTGTCTTTACCTTAAATAAAAGGAAACAAATCATATTACTTTTGGGTTCAGACAAGAAACAAAAATGTTTTAGAAATGTACAGCGCTTTTAGAAAAAAAACCAAATTAATTGCACGTCTTTCATGTCTGTTTGCTACAAACAACGTTTAGATTTTTCATGAAGTTGAGGTTCACGGCACTTTTACGTTTTTTTCTTATTTTCTCTCAGATCTGAAGGGTTTTTTAATTTTTGGTCAAGCATGCTTGAGAAAACCAGGTTTGTCAGAGTTTCAACTTTAAAAAGCCTTATGCAGCAGGAAATTCTACAGTGGCTGGGCCAGCCAGACTTTCAAATTTCATATTGCCCAATTATTTCTTCTTATCAGATTTATTTTAGTGCCTTTTATTTATTTTAGCACAAGAAGTGTGGTGGTGCTAAACCCTTCTAAAATAGACTCAATTAGAACAGTAGCATTTAGAAGACTAATAGCAATCTTTATTTTATGGAAAGAGTTTCTTTCTTATCTGTTCTACTAGTTATCTCTTGTGCTGATGCAGCATATAACTTCATAAAAATTTCAGATGAAATCTCTTTATCTAATTTATGTGACAATAGAGGTTTGAATACTGTGTATAACAATTCATGAATAGACAATTCATTTAACTGCAGAACTGCCTGAATATAAGAATAAACGACATTGTGAAAGAGATGCAGCAGTATGGTAACAGGTTTATCTTGATACAGTGCCTGATAGACAATAAAATCATAGAATTTATCTGGACACATTAGCTAGGGTAAGCCTAAAACTGTACATCACTTAAAGTACCTTTTAGGATAAGTTTGTACCCAGACACAGAAACAAAACCCAATACAACAGGTATGTTTCTATATTTTTTTTTTTACAGAAGCGTAATTCCAAAAGAAACAGTTTTTAACAAAAACATTCCCAGCAGTGTTTGCATTTTATTATATGTACTACTGCAGTGCTTAGGAACTCTAATTATGGACAAGGGTTCCTTTTCCTAGGCACTGTACAAACAAAACAGAACCCAAATGTCTGCAACATTGTGCCAGGGCATGAAAACCTGCAGGATGAAATTGGTGATATACAAAAGGTTAAAACACAGCCTGTTTTGATTATTCAATCAGGGGAATCCAGTAAAACTGCTGAATGTTTTATATTCAACACTTAAAAAAATAACCAACACATTGTGATGAATCACTTGCTCAAGGCAGCCAAGGGCTAATAACATCCTTCTGCTGTGCTGCCTAAAATGGATCAGCCAGCATTTGAGGGTAGTTGGTGAACAGTCATTTTTAATTTTTGTGTGTTTACAAAATATATTTGATTGTCACCCCCTTCCACCTGTACAAATTTCTTTTCATCTTAGATTGTTAGATTTTCAGGCTTGATACTGTTCCTACTTCTGTTTGTGTTAGTAGGAAACACAGGAAGACCCTGATCCAGATAGCACCTTTGGGCAATATCAGAATACAAAATAAATTTAAAAAAACAACTCTGTCTTGTGTGACCTTTCACAAAGAAAGGATCAGAGTTACTTGAGAGATTTCATATATACCCCCTCGAGAACAAAGACAGGACATCAATACCTCACTCAGCTGTGTGAAAGAACTAACAGAGGCAAAAGAATCTTTACGGGCATTCAGTCTGCATAACACTGCTAGATGAAGATCATTGGCTAATGACATCAGCAGAGCTTCTGTCCTATATACTGAAGTCTGAAAGAAAACTCTAGATACCACCACCAACATTCTCTTCAATGGGAGACTGGGAACATAACAGTTCACAGTCAATGTCAAGGTAACATTCACATTCATCCTTCATACTCAGCCTAATTTTTCCCTTGTTCATTTCACCATACAGTTCTAAGCCAATCTAAACAATTCTCCTTTTCTTTTGTTTCTATTCTGAAAATATTCATAAATGGACTATCATGGTTCAGTGTGGCCCATAGCCTAGCAGTTACTCCTCTTCTTGTCAGTACTCTGGCCATGAACGTGCAATTACTTGTCCCAATGATGTAATGAAGCTAGAGTGACTGATTCCAGCTATGGAGGCATACTTAAGTTGAGCTGGGAACTCAGAGCAGGGTGAGTACTCTTGTGTAAATGCAGTGTCACAACTAGAGTATAAAGTTGCAGTTCAACATTAACTGAATATTATGAATCATTACTGTGCAGCAAGGTTACATACCTGTTGAGAGGATATTATACTCTGGAGCAGACTTGAGTCTTGATAGTTCAGGAGGCATGCTGCGGAGGGGGAGTACACCACTTTGTAGGAAGGGAGCACATGTTTCCTGAAAAAGTCATTCATACAGTGAAGACTACATTTTTGGAATGATTTAGTTAATTCTAAAGTGCTTTCATATCATTGTCTTTTCCTTGTTATTAAGATGCTCAAGTTACTTCACAATTGAAATACAGGAAGACATTAAAAATAAATTAAAACAATGCAAATGTTCTTTCACCTTCCGACCAAGATTTTATGTGCAATTTTAATTATTAATAGTAAGAAAGAACAGCAGCAGCACTAAGGGACGCAATCATTTAAAAATTAAGTACTTTGCATGAGCAACATCAGTAGGAGAGGGGAATGGAATCCTCTTTTCCAATCCAGAAAACACCCACTGTGTCACAAATAACAGGCTGTTGCAGCATCTGCGGTCTGCTACGCTCTCTTTACAGGTATGTGTGTGCTCATGTACTAGGGATATAAAGGCTTAACTGGTAAACATCACCTTTACCAGGTAATGCTTAACAGGTAAGTGGTTAACCAGCAGCCTGGCTGAGCTGGAACTGTCCTCTGCCTGGGTGTGGAGGGGTTAGAAGGGCCACTCCAGCCCAGCTGAGCCCAATGCACCGCACTGCGGGGCCACTCCAGCCCAACTGGATCCTCTGCCTGTGGGATCCTGGATAACCAGTTAAACTTAACATTTAACCAGTTAACTTTTTAAATGGGATCTTGCATCCCTACCATGTACTCAGTGATCATGGCTTCCAGTTCCCTTGGTCTGCACACAACTAATCTTATCCACGTTATGTAAATGAGGAAAAGCACTATACTTTGATGTGCAGAAGATGGAAATGTATTTCCCTTCTGCTGTGTGCCCACTGATTCTGCTACAGTCCAGCAGCCTCAGGACCGGACTGGTCCCAATGAGGGAGTTTGCTGAACCAGGGGAAGTCAATTCCGCCCTCCTGCTGCCAGACTCTGGGCTCTCTCAGGGTCCGTCAGCAGACCCAAAAGAGGGGGCATGGAGGCATCATTTGAGCTCCCTGCTTCAGGTACCAAAATGTTATGGGCTGGCCCTGTAGACCAGAGAGGTTTAACCTGTCATACCATTGCATTTTATGCTTTCCATGTTTGTGCAGCTGCAGAAGAGAAGTGTGGGAAAAGTTTTCCCTGTACTAAATTAAAAACCATTTCAAAAATATTTTTGTTACCCAAATGCATTAGGGATGGAGCTTGAACTCAAAATTCAAAAGAAAAAGATTTACCTCCTGTGGACTAAGATTCAGAGGTATATTTACAGATGTCAGCTCCACATCAGCTATCTTGTGACTTACGCGAATAGATTGTGATTCATACTGTGACTGAAAGAAACATTCATATTCTTATTAGTTATACATTATAAATCTATGAGGCCAGGATAGAATGCACTCAATTCTTATGTTAGTTACATTGTGACAAGCACAAGTTGCCATTTCAATGAAATTTCATATTGCATTGTAATAAAAGTTACTTACCTTATCTCTCTTCAGCAGAATTACTGCTTCAAACATTGATATCTCATCAAATGTTCTCAGCACTGGTTCAAGATCTATTAAGCATTCTAAACGAGAAAAGGATATTCAGTTCAACATTAACAGTAATTACAATTTCAATTTGTTTGAGCTATTTATCTTACCTTTATGAAAATGTTTCCTCCACCAACACATAATAATTAGAGCATTAGGGTGATAAATGAACACTTCTTGCATTCAATTAAATAAATAGTTGATTTTTAAAATTTCTACATTACTGTGTTAGTTATAGAAATGTCTACTTTAAACTCAGATACAAAAAGTGATCTAAGCAAACTGGAGTCTGATACACGCCACAACTTCAACTACCTTCTTAAAACGTATTGCATAATTTTGTTTAAATATGTGGAATCATATCAGTGACTTTGCTGTACTAATGAATAGCTGATAATGTGGCTCTTTGTCTTTTCTATTTTATTCTCTACTTTTTTTGTGATACTTGTTGAAAACTTGCAATTATTTCCCCCTCTAATTATGGTGTCTTTTTCTTTCTCCCCTGGCTTTTCTAGTAGAGACAAAATTTTCATTTTTAAACATTTCCTTCTTTCCAGGAGCTGACTGCTTCTGAACTGTCACTAGAGGGAGTAAAAACAACATGTCTGGTATAAGCCCAACATTATGTAAACAATAGCTGCTTTACAACAAAATAACCCTCCTTCCCCTTTGCAATAGTATGATGAACTCTTTAATCTAAAGCAACTAAGATATTTAGAATTTGGAGATACTCCTCATCAAAAGCTTCAAGTTGGGTCAAATTTTGAGCTTAGACTACTATATCCTTTTAGGGGAAGTATTCATAACACATGTCAATACTCAGAGTCTTTTTGACAGCATGTAATTATAAACATTTCCAATTACAGAATATCAGTTGAGAAAAGTATTTTACAGAAAGCTTGCAAATGAGCCACAGAATCATTTAAAGTTGAAATCATGAAGATAAGCTATTTCTGATTATGCAAATTATGTTTTAAGACAGGAGTTTGTAGAAACAAAGGAATATGTTATTTCATGCACATTAATAATTCCTATGAACAACAGTGAGCCTGACAAGGATGGACTCAGAGGAAAACCTACTTGAATGAATGAAAAATACACTCCTATGTAGTACTGGTAGATTATGAGCAAAACTGCTTCTCATTTTTCTTTCTTTCACATTAAAAAGCATTTGCCAGAAACTGAGCAAGATATTCTAAAAATGATGAAGATGTAGTCAGAGGGAATACAGTCCTGTTCACTCAAAAAATGACACATTAGTGATTCTCCTAATATACTTTCCACGAGTATCATAAAAATATAGAGGAAGCAAAAAGACAAAAACAAAACTCTTTTACCTTTTACATGGATCACTGCAAAATCAAGGGAAGTAAAATGGGTAGAAAATTCTGTTTCTACCATAAGAAAGTGGAAAAAGCTTTCCCTTTAAATAAAATCACCTATTTGCTTACTTTTACTAAAAAAGCAAAAAAATGGTTTATTGTTATGTCACATAAAATACATACTATTTGATTATGTAACCTAGATAAGTATATATAAGATATAACAAACTAAAGGGTCCTAGGAGTTCTAACATTGTGCTAACACTCCAAACTACAACTGAGCTCAGGGCTACTCAACACGTGGCCCACAGGCAGCATGTGGCCCATGGTCTGTTTGTTTGCACCTGTGGTATTGTTTGGATTCACGGTGTGGTTTGGGTTGATATGTGTTTTAGTGGTTAAATTCCTGGACTGTTGTGACACCATAACAAAAAAATAGTCAATATAATGGTCTTCTGTTGATATGCATTTTAGAAATTAAATTCCTGGACTGTCATTGCTCATTAAAAGTGCCGTCATATGGGTGGAAATCAGGTAAATGTTGCATTTTATTAATATCAGCAGAACTGACTTAAAGTGAGCCTGTGTGTTATGTAGTCTTGTCTTAATTTTTGTATTCATGCCTGTCAGTGTGAAAGAAGCTATTTGCCTGGTGAATGTGAGGGAGAATGGAGGAGGGAAGGAGGGAGGATGGAGTGAGCAGAGAAGGGGCACAAAGAAGGCAGGGCAAGGATATTTGGTTTGAGGTAGATCTTGGATTGCACTTAAATTCAAAAAGTGATTTCATGCTTAAAAAGGTTGGAGACCCCTGCTCTAAGAGCGCATCCTGCATGTCCCATCCCCACTTTTCCTTTCCAGCGCTTCCCAAGCACTGAGAGTCAGCTTCTTGCGGTGCTCTGAAAGTACTGGGAGGGTGGGGAAGGAGTAAATCCTTGGGGCCATCAGTGGGCGAAAGGTGCAGAAGGGGGCAGGAAGATGAGAAGGCGATAGGCAGGAAGAGTGGGGAGCGTGGCTGCCAGTGGGTGCTCCATACACAGTATTTTTCCCCAGGGATTCTCCAATACCAGAAAGTCCATGGAGTTGGTGCCTATGACTGACATTCAATTTCAAAACATCCACCAATATTAAAAGACAATTAAAACACCTGTCCATGATCTGAACAAAAGGACTGTACCAGTAAATCTCAATGCTAGACTGAGTTACCCATTATACCAACCACTAGTATGCAGTGTATGTGGGGATTAAAGACCTAAGCATGTCTCATTTTTCTCTCCTGCCAGCTTCACTGAAGGAACTGAAATTGTCAAAACTGCCTACTTTTTGAGCTCTTTGGAAAGCACTTTGCAGCTCAAAAGAGCAGAACTAGTAACATTTTAGAGAACTGAAGCTATTGTTCAACCCAACTACCCTAGAAATTGTTAAATTTGCTGAAAACCTCAGTTTAGAAGGTAAAAGTTAAGTGTTTCATATCGGGGGCATTTTAAACTAGAAATCACTTTTTAAAGAAAACTGCAGCTTCAGGCCTGTAAATGGTCATCGAGCTTCTAAAATACAGAATTTTCTACTCCAACACAAATTACTGTCTTCATTTTGCAATACCAACTGGGAGGGAAGAAGAAAATTATCAAGGTCTTTACATTTTGAAAAGTTAAGATTGCTACTTTTCCAAAATAATCTACTATCCCTCTTGGACATTTAGAATCAAATTTTCCAAAGGTAGGAGTTAAAACTGTGCCCAAACATTCACATTCACAAAATGGATAGTTAGTCAATACCAGTACATTGGGTAATTACACAATGTGGCTGTAATTAATGTTAGGAATGGGCCAAAACTTTAATAACAAAAACACCGTGGTAGGCTCAGATGATAATGGACTGTTGTGAAGCCAAAACAAAAAAGATAATGGAGAAAATGGAACCCAGGTATAGCTCCCCCTTTTTTTGTAAGATAGAAGACTGACAAACAAGGCTTTGAAAAATCAGAACCAAACTCCTCCTCCTTCCTGTGTCCATCTCCTATATAGATTTCAATGTCATATTTGCCTTCTGAATTCAATGTTCCAGATTACAGGACTCACTGTAAAAGAGCTAAAAGCATGAAGATAGAATTTCGTAATAAAACCTGACAGAATTAAAGGTGAGAAGCCTAGAAGATATTTATAACGAGCAAGGAACCTTGTCATTAGGATAAACATTTTAAATCTGTCAAATGTCACTTTAAGTCTTAAATATAGAATTAGTTTCCTATCATCATTGCAACTGGTTTTAAGGCTTGGTCTAGTAAACACTGCAATATTGCTGAAAGCATAGTTTCCTACATTTCTCCAAACAATATTAATCTTTTAGGCTCACTTAAGCTTAAACTCAGCTCTCTGCCTAAACATGATTTGGAGGGAGGAGGGAGTATAAACAAAATGAATGAAGGAGGAGGGTGAAACCTTGAAAGCATTGTTTCCAGAATTAAATGTAATGCATCTACCCATACATTTTTCAACATAGCTGTAGCAATAAACTGGTGGTCTGGGAGTTGGCACTATTGTCTTACATGAACTGAAACAAACTGAGGAAGCAGGTTTTCCCCATGAAAGCTCATGACACTACAGGCAGTCCCCGGGTTACGTACAAGATAGGGACTGTAGGTTTGTTCTTAAGTTGAATTTGTACGTAAGTTGGAACTGGCGTCCAGATTCAGCCGCTGCTGAAACTGACCAGCGGCTGACTACAGGAAGCCTGAGGCAGAGTTTCTCTGCCCCGGGGTTCCTGGAATCAGCTGCTGATCAGTTTCAACAGCAGCTGAA